CAAAAAAAAAAAAAAAAAAAAAAAAAAAAAAAAAAGAAACTTTACCATCAGTGAAAAGAAACAGACCACCAGCATAATAAACATATGAATGCAGAGTATCTAGTGAAAAACAGCTGGGTATCTCAGGAGAAAAGCGGGCAGATTATACAGTAGTTTTGAGAACGTGCAGACTACTGGAAATGCAAATCAGGAAGCAAGGATAGCCATTAAAAATGAAGTCAATGAAAAAATATAATTCAAATACCCAAATCACACAATTTCCAAAAACTAATATGATACTTACAAAAAACCAAAAGTATGATGTTTGAAAAAACTTACCCTGAAATAAGTGAAGTTACTAGCTGCTAAATAAATGTCACTCAAAAGCAGTCTCTTGGCTTTTTCTTACACAGCGGGCAACTTTTCTTTTAAATTCTCCATTTCTATCTTCCCTCCATTCTTTCTGTAATTAAAAAAGCAGTATCAAATGATTTCATGCAAACTCCTCTTTATAATCTCAAATATTTAATTTGGAATGTAATCCCTTGGTGATTTGTACACTTCAAAAATGTTGTAGAGTTGATAAGGTAGAAAACAGATACACTTTTGGAAGACATTGTCAGGAAACACAGGCAGAAATCTACAATGCAAACCTCTACATTAAAAATCATCTTTAAAAAAGGTCACAAAAGAACATTTACACTTTTGTATTATACTGAAAGAGAAATATAAAATATACAAATAAGACATTCAGGCCAGGTGCAGTGGCTCACGCCTGTAATCCCAGCACTTTGGGAGGCCAAGGTGGGCGGATCATGAGGTCAGGAGTTTGAGGCCGGCTTGATGAACATGGTGAGACTAAAAGTACGAACATTAGTCGGGCGTAGTGGCGCACGCCTGTAATCCCAGCTACTCAGGAGGCTGAGGCAGGAGAACTGCTTAAACCAGGAAGGTGGAGAGTGCGGTGAGCTGAGATTGCACCACAGCAAGACTCTGTCTCAAAACCAAAACACAACAAAACAATATTCAGTTGGTAATCTGAAGGATTATCTGAAAGATTACCAACTCTCCCTGTTGGAAACAACCAGAAAATAAACATAAAAGTGGCTGCAACATAAAGTAGATAGGTGGGATGCATCATGCTGAGATTTAAAAAACATGACAATTATCACTTATCACTGCCAGGCATGTGAAAATGGAACAGAACAGTGGCGGGGTGGGCGGGGGTGGGGGGGTGGAAGGGGAAGAGGGAATGGGGTGGAAGGAGAGAGAGCAAGAGAGAGAAGAAGAGTTGGGGGAGAGGGGAGACAAAGCAGGAAAAGGTTCTATTAAACGGAGGTCTAAAGAAGCTAAAATTTGGAAATGGCAACTCTGAGACAAGCCTGAATAAAAAGTGGGGCTGAGGCCAGGTGCAGTGGCTCCTGTCTGTAATTCTAGCACTTTGGGAGGCCGAGGTGGGACCTCAGATCACCTGAGGTCAGAAATTCGAGACCAGCCTGGCCAACATGGTTAGTCACCATCTCTACAAAAGGATACAAAAATTAGCTGGACGTGGGGGCGCACACCTGTAGTCCCAGCTACTTGGGTAGCTGAGCCAGGAGAATCACTTCAATGAGAGGCAGA